AGAGCTTATTTAGTTTATTGAATCATATTGATCCACTTATATTTTATTAATAAACCAAACTTTATTCCTATAACATTGATCTGTTAAACTTGTGACTTAAAACCCAATCTATCATTATTGCTCTCCCATCATATTTGAAGTATTTATACATATTTCTAATTTATATTTATATATCCTCAACATTTACTGTATTTATAAATTGATATATTGTTAATTCAATAGTTTTATTAACGCAAACAAGTTCTTAAAGTTATTAAGTTAAATCATTATCCTTCAATACCTAAAACATTGCTATACATGTTGAAGTCTATTTTTCAGTCAGTAGACTTCGTAATCGACTTGTATAACAATACATGTTAATTAATTATATACTGTTTAAAACACAATATCAAGTTTTGAATAGTAAGTTTCATACTAAATATAAATTATTGCTTTATGCTCAATTTACAGTTTTTTAATAGGAAAAGTAGTATTCTAACCATATAAATAAATCAATTGTATATTACAAATAAATAAAAGTAAATATAAAATTAATAAATAAAATAAAATAAATATAAAATAAAATATTAATAAAAATAAATAAAATGAGATTGTATGATGAAAATGTTATTCTGATACTTCTTATAAAATTTTTTTTTTTAAATTGTTAAGTGATAGTGAGAATTTGATATTTTATATATAACCATTAATATTAATTATTTTTATACAGAGATAATTCTATATAAGATTTTTGAACCCTGAAATTTTTGGTAATACCAATATTCATTTAGTCTAGTTTTTTTATAGATAAGAATATCTCAAAACTTTCTGAGCAAATAAATAAATTATTAGCAAATTTTTGTGAATTTGTTATTCATCTTAGAGTAAAAAATTCTATTAAATTATGTAATATTTTTAATATAAATAAAATCCTGTCTGATTTTATATAGTTAAAAATATTACTATTAATTTAAAAAGAAAAAAACAATTCATATTTGTGAAACAGAAAATAAAAAAAAATCAGTTAACTATTATTTTGATATGTGTAATAAGAAACTTAATAATTTTAATAATATAAAAAAAATTTAAAATATTAATTTTTTTAATTATAGATGATATCAAAGTGTTACTAATTTGCATTTTTAAAGAAAAGCAAATATTACATGAAAAAAAAGATTCTCTAATGTAATTGTTTGGTTTTAGGAAAATAGTTGAATAAATGTGAATTTTATAAAAATGTCAAATAACTAATCTAGATTTTTATTAATGATGGTTTATAATTTTTTTAAAAGGTATTTGAAGGATTTATTAAAAGAAGCATTACAGGCATGATAAAATAAACCAAATTTCTACCTTTCGCTTTATTTACGAGAATGCTCATATGATTTCAGCCCTTTATACACTTTCTGGTGTTTCTCATTTGAACGTATGAGAAATTTAAAGAAAAAATGTTTATTTGGCTGTAATCTTAGGTGGTTTGACAAGTATTTTTAATACTTGATATTGTAATTAACAAACCTTTAGAATTATCTTCATCAAGAATGTCATTAATGGATAAGTAATGGTAGGAAACCTTTGATACGTTACAATAAGTGATATGTAGGTTTGGTAAAATGTTTATGAAATCTTTTAAAGAGCTATTTACAAAGATATTGATAGAATTATTAGGAAAATTCAAGAACTTGCTGTTTTGGCTTACATTATTATCATTATTATCCCTTAGGTTTTAGTAAGTAAATGTAAATTTTGTCTGTAAATTTAAAAAAGTATTAATTAAATCAATCTTTAATTTATTATAATTTAAAAAAAAAAAATTTTTAATTTATAGTAATTAAGTTCCTTCATTAGAAAGAGAATTTACTTAAATAAATAAGCCAAAATGATCAACAAGCATGACGCGTTATAACGCGAGATCGGTCATATGATCGGATTGCGATATCCTAGTTGGTTTTTTTTTCCTGTTGATTTCTAACTATGGCGGCGATAACCAACAAAGTTTTTAAAGAAACCGAAAGTTGGTTAACGAAGGAACGCCAGAAATTTGAAAATTTTGCCGAGGAAAAGTTTCAAAAGTTTTCAACTGAATATCAACAAGAGGTCGATTGGTTAAGAAATTACTTACAAGATATCGTTTTTCGGAAAACAAAAGTTGAAAAAAAGAAAAATGAACATGAAATTTCTAACCAACTTAATCATGAAATTGAACCCCGCGAGAGTCTAAAAATTCCATTAGTTACGCGTGATTTTAGCAAGATCATGCGAAATAATGTTGAAATTGTGGATACCGCTAGTATAACTCAACAATTAAAAAGAATTGTAAAACATACACCAAAATCAAAACCCGAAAAACCCGAAATAAAATCCTTGGTTCTCGCAGCTGCTGCCGCAAAAAGGGTAAATGTTAAAATGTTTGGGTTGTATTTTTTTTATATAGCTAATATTAAGGTATACATTTAATAGGAAAAAGAGGAACAAGATAAAAGGCTTGTAAGAGCAAAGGAATGGGAGAAAGCACGTCTACGCAGACAGGAAGAGCAACAAAAACGCCTTCAAAGCCTTAAAAATCGTGACGATGAGTTAAGAAAGAAGGTCATTGTAATATCAGATACGAAAAAAAAGGTGTGAAGTACGGAATCTACCAGATATTTATGGTTATCCATAATCTCACATGGCATTATGTTACTTATTATTTAAAGGACACAGATTTAATTCGAAAAAAGAAGATAGATAATAAAAATTCAAAAGATACATTACAGAATCAAACGGGACAAAATCAGAAAGAAACTGATAGAACAGTTCATACAAACGAAAATACCAGCGTTATAATTAGTAAAAAAGTTCAGTTATATGATCAACTTAAACGGCTTGGTCATATTAAAAAACAAACCGAATTACCGGAAATAGATAGCGAGTATGATGTATTTTTTTTATTATCTATGGAAATATTTGAACACGTCTTAAATTTGATCAATTTTTGTTATTAAAAATTATTCTAGTGAAGATGAAAAAGTTGAAATCAAAAATCGACGAATACGTAAGGATTGGGAACAAAGCCCCGAATTAAAGGCCGCTTTAATAAATCAATCTTCAATTGATCCCGAAACTATTTTTGGAAAAATTCTTCCACTTAATATAGATGGTTGGTTTGTTTTTTTTTAATTTAAATACGCGTTTTAATTAAATGTTCTTACGCGTTTTGCTTTTTATTAATAGAAATCTTTGGTGAACGAGAACATAGGCTTCGCCCGAGATCAAGTTCAGCAAATTGGTCAGGTCTAGATGCATTGACAGAAGAAGAAGAATTGGAATATAAAATACATATGGGATTTTTGTGAGAAGTAAGTGATTAAAATTAAATTTTTTCTTTCTTTCTTTCTGAGAGATATGTATTTAAATTTGTTTTGATATTAGTATAATTAAATTATTTAATATCATTTAATTACAAAAAAAAAAAGATACCTTGAAATCGAGAATCAATACATTTTTATTATTTGATTTAAATAGGTAATTATTACAAAAAGTTAAGTGATAAAATTATCAATACAAAAATCTTTACTTTTTTTTTTAAGAAAAAAAAAAGATTTTAAGAAAAAAAAAGACAAAAATAGATGTTATAAACAATTTTTTTTTAAAAAAATTATCATAAATATAGTAAAATAAAATAAAATATTAATGTTTTCTCTTAATTATTTATTTTAACCATTTTTCAGAAATAATATAAAATCGCGTGATATATATGAATGAAAATCAAAAACAACAACAAAAAGTTTTCAACCTTAATTTAACTATCAAAATTACTTTTTAATAAAAATTATATGTATATATTATTTTTACACTTTTTTTTTATTTTTTTATTTTTTAAAAACTTGGGAGCTGGAAGTTGGTTATCTGTGGCAAATATGCACACGCAGATAAATCTAAGACGAATATATCGTCAAAGACCGAATGACCATCATAACCACCAAAGACAAATAGACGAGAATCATGCAACACAGTTGTATGATATCCCCGACCTGATGGGGGTGTCCCATACACCCTTCTACTTTCCCATTCCATAGTTACTAATTAATTTAAGAAATTAATTATAATCAAAATATTTATAAAATATCCTCAATGAATTAATTATACGTGATAACATTTACTTACCAAGGTTCAATAACCGAACCTCCGCGGTGTACCGCGTCCCGTCATGTCCACAAACCACAAATAAATAAGAGCCAACTTGTGTGGCTGTGTGAGAAAGTCGAGGACAAGAGCTTTGAACCGTGACTGGGATCCACGTATTCTCATCTAGAAATATATTATGTTTATTATTATTATTATTATTTAATGATAAAAACCAAAGGTTAAGAATTAAACAAAAATATACCCAAATCCAGCACGTAAACGTCTTCAAAACACTCATGGCCGTCGCTACCACCATACACAACTAACTTGCTTCCCACAAGATTACTAGTGTGATATCCACGGGAAATTGGGGTTGCCCCTTTTAATTCTAGTTTTCGCCATGATAGATTATTTAAGTCCGTTATATCTAGTGTGTATACATCGTTAAGGGCGCGCACACCATCACCACCACCAAATATGTATAGGTTATTGTTATAATAAGCTGAAGTATGAGCACGGCGTGGTGATGGAATATCGCCGGTTGTTTGGGGCTTAGACCAAGTCAATGTATCTATAATGAAAATCAAGGCGTAAAATTATTTATTCAATGTAAATTTGAATTTGCTAAAAAATCCTGATTTACAAAATTAATCAGACTTACCCGTATCAAAAATATACAAGTCATTAAAATACGTGGGCCCATCCCCACCTCCAAAGATGAACAACTTTTTGTCCACCAGTGTAGAAGAATGTGCGCGGCACGATGACGGTGGTTCACCTATAGTTCGAGCCTTATTCCAATACATTGTGTCTAATTATAAAATAAATTGAATAAAATAACATTATACATGCTTAAAAATGTAATTAATACAAGGATACATACCTGCGTCGAATATGAAGACGGAGTTGTAACATGTCTTCGCGTCACAACCCCCAAAGACAAACATTAATTCTCCTACCAAGTTGACAGTATGCGATCTGAGTGCTCGGGGTGACTTCCCATAAGTTTTTATCTTTGACCAATACATAGCAGGTGCTGGCGCGGGATCCACAATAGTCGTGACAAGATGTGAATCATTTCGTCTTCCATCTCCACGATGATGATTATGATGATTATGTCGTCTCGTTGATATTATGTTATTGAGATTATTTGCTGAATCTCGATGATTAGAGGATACTAATGATTGGCCAGGCGAGGAAGGCCGAAAAGAATTAGAATTCGAGGATATTGGAGGTGATGTAACGGGGGATGTGACCATAAAATTAGTTAGTGATGAAACGGCGTAGGTTGGATTATTATTATTAATATGATTAAAGTTCAGATTTGATGGTGTCAATTGTATTTCAGTCGCTGGTATCGAAGAATTAGGTATACTATGCGGAGAGGTATGAGTTGTTGACACGCTTGATGTAGAACTGTTATTAGGAGGGGAATCTGATATGGAAGTTGAATGGGTTTCTGTGCCAATGTCACCAGGAGTTGGCGGTAGTGTAGGACTATCCGTTTCTTCGTTTGAAGAGTGTCTTTAATAATTAATAAAATGAATTAAATTAATTCAAGTTCAATTTAGAAATGCATTCAAAATATATGTAGACGTTAAAGATGAAATAATCCAATTCAATTTTTAAATCTTTATGCGACGAACGTATCACTTAAAGTATCACATTGAATCTCAATAAAAAGTTAAAAACAGCAGTATTTAAACAGCTTACCTTGGGTATTTGCCAGCCATCAACGATCTACTGGTTTTAAACTCGGATGTTAAGAGAAAATGTAGATTTATGAATAAAAAGATGGCCGCCTAAATAGTCGAAATATATATATATATATATTTAAAAACAAAGAGGTAAAAGTATGAAATTTAAAGTAGGTGAGAGACCCTTAATACGAAAGGTATTCGACGGATATTTTGACATTGATTCACACCAAAATCCACTTATTTTATTTTGAACGAACAACAACAATGTTGTACTCAAAAAGAATGTTAATTTAAACGTACGTCACGCAAGCTCTGATGTTAAATCATTTTATATAAATCACGTGGATTTTAAAATTCATCAAAAAAAAAAAAAAAAAAAATAGAAATTAGCGAAAACTAGTGTTTTTCTTGTCTAGTAAAACATGAACCTCTTTTCAAAAAACTATTGAAAACCACATATTGCCGTGTTATTTGACTTTGTGTTACGAAATTAAAGCGTAAAAAAAAATTTTTTTTCGATTAATGGGAAATGTTTTCGCAAACTTTTTTAACACCACTTGGAAACATTTGGGTGAGCCATAAAATTTTAATTAATTCCCTTAACTGTTTTATTGAAATAAAACTTTAAAAGATTATTTATGTTTTTCAATAAAACTTATTAATTTTATAGTTCATACAACGTGGAATAATTCGATCATCATTGATACAAAATGTTGCCATTTTTCGAAGAAAGACAAAATTATTTCACAACACAACAAAATTATTGAAGGATGAACCTGATGATCGACTCATCATCGATCCCGATTCTGATGTATCTCCAAGACAATGTCAAATAGCAAGAGCATACATGAAAATTAATAAATTAAACCAAAATAAGTGGGAAAAACCAAAATCGCTATTCGCAAAACGATCTAAAGTTGATTATTCAGAAAGGAAGAATGAGGATTTATTTTCAAACAATGAAAAAGATAACTTACTTGGCATAAATAGTCTTATCAAAAGTGAAACTTCTAAAGGATTACCAAAAAGAAATTGGTCGCAACATAGATATGAAAATTTGGAAGATAAATCTTTTAGAAACAATTTATCAAGGACGGATCATTTTATTAATGGTCCTGAAGATTTTAGAGAAAGATCGCAAATATCAGAAGCATTTAATAGAAAAAATTGGTCTGATTCAAATGATCCTAGAATTATAGAGAATTCTTCGGGGTTACAGTATTTTAGTAAAAATATAGACAAATATCCTTTTGAGAAGAAAAGAGTGAAACCACCAATTGATCGATATCAAAAGGAAATTGATCATAAACCAAAAAGCAAAGTTGATTTTGTTTCCGCTTTAACTGAATTAAAAACGATTCAGGAAATCAACGTGGAAAATGATGATGACTCATCAGCAGTTCGTGCCCGTCAAAAGTTCGCTTCTAAAAAAGATAAGGTTGTAGAGAAGTCAGAGCATCATAAACCAAAATCTTTGAAAAAAGGACGCGAACTTTTGGATGCGGAAGACAGTTATTTTTATGTAAATCATGATGATGATAGTCCCAAGAAAAAAAGTCAAGTTCAAAAAATTGAACAAAAGCTACAAAGGGAAGTCTTTATCCCCGAGGCCATTAGCATCGCTAACCTTGCCAAAATGGTTGGCGTACGTTTAGGTGGGCAGTTAACGCATTAATAAAAATTTATTCACTTTTTTTATTATATTCTTTAATTTTAATATAAATACAGGCTTGAATATTTCTTTTTGTAGCGACTTTTGAACAAAAACTACAGAATCTTGGAATCGAATATGTTTCGCATGATCATTGTAAGTTAATTAATAAATTAAATTTGTTTTTTTTTTATTTATTTCACGATAATAATATTCGTTGTTATTTTAGTATTGAATGCTGAAGAAGCATCATTGATTGCTATGGAATATGATTTAAATCCTGTGGTAAATTCTGAAGCCGCAATTGATCTGTTTCCAAAGTAACATTATATATATATATATTTTTTGAAATGTTATTATAAATTAAATTTTCATATCTAAACATGTTTTAATGAATATGAAGACCAAAACCAGCCGATATGTCCAAGTTCCCACTTCGGCCTCCGATAGTTGCGATTTTAGGTCATGTAGATCACGGGTATGTGATTCATGATTATTGATTATAAATATTTTCGTTCCTTGTTTTCAAGCATGCCTTTGTTTTATTAGTAAAACAACATTATTAGACACATTGCGAAAATCTTCCATAGCGGCTGGAGAAGCAGGTGGAATTACTCAACATATTGGTGCATTTTCCGGTAAGCGATGCGTTAATTATATTCTTCTTGTTGGAATAAATTCAAATTTACGCGTCACATCTGTTAGTTTCGTTGTCTTCCGAAAAAACAATTACATTTCTTGACACTCCTGGCCACGCTGCATTCACTGCCATGCGTGCCCGCGGCGCGTTTGTAACCGATATAGTAGTTTTGGTAGTGGCAGCTGATGACGGTGTCATGCCTCAAACCCTTGAAGCTATTAAACATGCAAAGGATGCTGGAGGTAAAGATATATTTACCGAACTTTCTTATGATTTATAAAAATGTGTTTTAATGACAATTTGTTCAATTAGTGCCGATGGTTGTGGCTATCAACAAAATCGATCGACATAATGCAAACCCGGTAAATGGAATATCGATTACCGTCAGGCGAAATTATTTATTTATTTATTTTATTTATTATTGTGGAATTAGCAAAAGGTTCGTGAAGCCCTTTTATCCAATGGAGTAGAATTAGAGGAATATGACGGAGAAACTCAATCAGTTGAAGTATCAGCCTTAACCGTAAGTCCATAAAATTTTTTATAAAAAAAAAATAAAAATAAAAATAAAAATATGTATAGAAAAAGTTTTATGGATTTCTGTAGGGGCAAGGGTTGGATGAACTAGAAGAAGCAATTATAACGCTTGCTGAATTGTCTGACTTTCGTGCTGAAGTTGGTATTGAGGCTGAAGGTGCTATCATTGAGTCACAAATGGAGAAAGGAAAAGGGTATGAGACATTTAAAATGTCCAGATTATTAAAAAATTTAACTTTTTTCTTAATATTTTGAGCTGTTCTTTTTCTCTTAGAAACGTTGCTACAGTCTTGGTAAAACGTGGAACTTTGAAGCAAGGGGACGTTATAGTGGCAGGCACTACTTGGTGTAAAGTTCGTGTGATGAACGACGAGAAAGGCCACATAATTAAAAATGCTTTGCCTGGTACTCCTATTAAATTAACAGGATGGAAAGAATTACCAGTTGCTGGAGACGAGGTGCTTCAAGCAAAAGATGAGGTAGGTGTGATAGATGAATTTAGGGTGATTATTTACAAGATTTGTTATAATTCGCCTTGCTTTTTTGTAGGAACTCGCCAAAACTGTTGTGGCGAATAGAATATTGAAAAGGTCACGAGATCAACAACTCAAAGATTTAGAAGTAATTAATGAAAAACGAAGACAACGAAAGCAAGAGCAAGAAACCGAGAGAGCAAATGCGAGAAATTTCAAAAAAGAGGTATGGATGTTCCATCAAGGTTTACTTAAGGAATATCCAACGGCGGTTCCACTTCAACCAACTATAAAGGAAGAAAAACCTTTAATGGAAACCAACAAGAAAGAACTTAACGTTGTTGTCAAAGGTGTGACAATTAAAACAAAACAAATGAATTTTATTATTTGACTTAATTAAACAATTTTATTTGTCTTTTTAGCTGATGTAAGTGGTACGGCTGAAGCTGTTGTAGATGCATTGCATGGTTTAGGAAATAATGAAGTATGCGTTAAAATAATTGATTTTGGAGTTGGAGATGTGACAGAATCAGACATTCATATGGCAAACATAGCTAAAGGTATTTAATGACACAATTACAGTCATTCTATATTTATATAATATCTTTGATGCTTATTTCATTTTATTTATGTCGTATGATAGCGATAATATTAGGTTTTAATGTTAAAGCTTGCAAAAAAGTACAATCACAGGCGAGGATAGATAATGTGGACATGAAGTTTTATAAGGTTATTTACCATCTTTTGGATGAAGTTAAAGAACAATTGGGCAAATTGTTGCCACCTATTTTAGAAACGCATGTTACGGGGGAAGCTTCGATATTACAGATTTTTCAAATTAATGTTAAAAGCAAAGAATTCAAACCAGTCGCTGGTTGTCGTATAACAAACGGAACCGTATTTAAGAATCAAAAAGTCAGAATTCTTAGGAATAATAATCAAATATGGGAAGGTGAGAATCTCTATCAAAACCATTATAATGATAAAGAATTATTATTAATTGATTATATATTTATCTATATAGGCTCTTTGGAAACTCTGAAACAAATGAAAAAGGAAGTTAATGAAATAAAGAAAGGGTTAGAATGCGGGATATCATTTGAAGGGTTCAATGGTTTTAAAGAAGGAGATTCTATTCAAAGTATAGTCGTTAAAGAGGTGCCTCGTAGTTTGTAGATTAATTATGGATCAACAATTTTCGGCAAAAGTAAATTGCCGTAAATTTTATGATGACGTTTTAGTGTAACGGCACTCAGATAAATTAGGCTTAAAAAAATAAACAAGTTTTCGTTGTAAAACTTTTCCGTAGCAACTTTCTTATTTGTACCTTAAATGATCTAACCACAATACTCTTATTTAACATATAAAAACCTTCTGTATATCAAGGAAACAAGAATTTATCAACAAAAAAAAAATGTCTGAAAATAATAAACCAGTAATCAAGAACGTTGACATGGTCGATGATATGCAACGTGAAGCTCTAGAATGTGCTAATCAAGCTTTGGAAAAATATAACATTGAAAAAGACATTGCAGCCCATATTAAACGTGAGTTCGACAAAAAATATGGAACAACTTGGCACTGCATCGTAGGAAGGAACTTTGGAAGCTACGTGACTCACGGTAAGATTGTAAAAAAAAAGATCTCGATTTAAATTATATAAGATGACGAAATTTTTGATTTCAAACCAAAATATTTTTATCTTAATTAATTTAATATATGTTACATAATTAAGATAAATTTTTTATTTATTTAATGTTATTAATTATAAAGCGCGTATATATTATTCAATTGATTCATAATATTTATTAAATAATATTCTTCTTTTAAAATTTTACGGATTTTAATAGAAACCAAACATTTCATCTACTTTTACATTGGAAATATCGCAATACTCTTGTTCAAATCCGGATAATATAATAGAGGAAAAAAAAAATTTCTTTTTTTTTATTCGGATCATTAATGCATATGATTTCAAAGATTGTTTAAAGTAGAATTTGAATTTTGTTTCTTCTAATTCATCATTTTTTTCCGTGTATAAAGAAATTATATTAATAATAATATTTTCAATTGGAAATTTTTGATTTGATAAAAATTCATATCATGTGATTTTTCCAAATAATTTATAAATTATATTTAAGCCTCTACCGCAATTATTATTATTATTATATATTATTGTATTTTATTTAAGCCAAGTGGCAAATAATTAAGGGTCATCCTTTTATTGGATGAAATGCTCGAACTGTGGCACAGCATTGGTTCGCCACTTCGATGCTGTGCACTGTTTATATGTATGCATATTGAAAATCGAGTTACGCAAAATTGCTGTCAATGAAAATATTTGGCATATGAAATTGCTTATTGTTAACAAAGTAAGCAAGAATCGCAATGACGTAACCAGCAAAACAAGTTATATATATTTGTATTGTGACATCCGCGTTTATGTAACATCTACTTGCTGTGCCTGAAAAAAAAAGGTACATAAAAAAAAAATCTTTGCAAAAGATTTCGCAACAATTTTTTTTTCTTTCGTATCATCGAGTGTCCTCACTCGTTTCTTCCTAAATAAGTTTCATTTATTTGTAAGCCATAATTTTTATCGAAAACCTTTTCAAAAAAGATTAAAAAGATGTCCCCCTCTCAACCATATAAATATAACCATTTTTCCAATTGGAAGGATTTCTCAATACCACCAAAAAGTTTCGAAGACTTGAACAACGCATACACCTCTGGAGACTACACTACTGCTATCAAATTTCTCACTTCTTTGTCAACAAATGTTTCTGACCAAAATACTAAACGTTACGAAGCACGAGAACACGTTTTTCTGTCGCGTGCTGTTTGCTTTCAACAAATGCGAGAACATCAACAAGTTGTATCGGATACCACCGAAGTAGTGAAGATTGTTAAAAATGTTACTTCAACTTCCAGCCTATCTTTAGACGTCATCTCTGTTAATTCCGAAGACTGCTCATTTTGTTTAATTCTGGCATTATGGCTCCGAAGTTTAGCATTTGAGTCACTCGAGAATTGGGATCGTGCCAAAGATGATCTTGACACATTGAAAACTCTAATATTCGAGAAAAACAGAGATAATATGATCCCTTACAAAACGGAAGGGGTACTTTCAGTTTTTTTACCTCACATGACTCCATTAATAACACAAAGTAAATTTAATACAATTAAAATCAATATACATTGTGTTAATGATCGTCAACGACGTATGAATGATTTAGTTGCGAAGGAAGCAGCAAGACGCAACGATGGCCATAAGGCATTTCGTTTAATAGATAGGGATGTGGGATGTCTTGATGAAATCGCGAAGAAATTCCACTATCGCTTGTTACTGCGAAGACCATTACATCCCAATATCCATATGAATATGTGGTATACGTTAGATTTAATGTTTGTCAGTGAAGTTGGATTATTTAGAAAAGAAGACCTATATGGAGTTCAAGGTTATGCATTAGGATGCAAGTTGCTGGAAATTGGTAATATTGATGAAGGATCAGAAAAAGAAAAGTATGAAGTACAAGTTCGTCCTATGAGTGCAGAATCTCGTGAATGGAGCGATTGTACTGATGCAGATTGGGCTGGGGTTCAAAACGGGGGTAAAGGAGGGTTGGAGTTCCGGATTGTAAAGTCGAAAAAACTCATAGAAACTAATGGATGCAAAGAATTTAATATATTCAATTGTTCTGCCGCTGAATCTAATATATTAAGCAAATCTGAAGATTCTAATGGGAATTCAAGTGTTAAACTTTGGCGAAAAAATTCTTCCAAAACTTCTCGCAGGCAATTATACTTGTATGTCTATCCTATTCAAGAAGTTTTAAACTATGACACTAAAGACGATAGCGTTAAGGATGATAATAAAGTGAATGGAAATAATAAAGAGTTAAATCGTTGTGTACATGAAAATTATCTTGTACCATTGAGTATTGGTCCTATTCGTCTAGTTACTTGTGAAGCGTACTCGAATTCTTGCGTCCATCACTTACCACCAAGTGGATCCAATGAAAATAATGATAATGCTATTCAATCTAATAATCCTTGGAATTCGCAACAGATTACTACTTCGGTGACTCCCCGTAAAAAGAGTCCTTGGAATATTGATGATTATCTTGTTGATAGTTACCGAGGTTTCGTTTTGCCAAATGGAAAGTATTTGATAATTAAGGAATTGTGGGATGCTGGAATTCCTGGAAAAGTGTGGGATTCCGCATTCATTATCGTTCAAATGATTAAGGATAAAATTCTTAAGGATCAAAATTTTTTTACTGGAAAAAGGATTTTGGATTTGTCGGCGGGAACCGGATTTGTCGGTTTATATTTGGCTGCATTTTTAGCTACGGGAAAATCGGAAGAAATCATGAGTAATAATTTAACAACTAATATTGTAATAACCGACTTGGAGCACGCTCTAAAATTAATTCGTGGTAACTTGGCGTTGAATCAATATATCTTGGATTCCAGTAATAAAGTGAAAATTGATGTAGAAGTATTACAATGGGGAGATTTGCCGAGAATAAGAAAATTGGAAATTCTTGATTACGTATTTGCTTCAGACGTCGTGTATGAACCTGGTAGGTGACCCTTATGACTCTCATAAACTTTTTAATATTAAGTGATTCCTTTTTTTTCTTTTATATAGAATCATTTGATTCCCTTATTCAAACCTTTATAGCCGTGTGTACTCCAGGCCTTACCAAAATATATCTTGGATACAAAAGGAGAGGATTAAATAAAGACGAAGAAGGTCGTTTTTTTGATAAATTGAAAACTGTGTTTCAAATGTCTTCGGTTCAAGGATTGGGAATTTTAGCCGAAGAGGGGAAAGTAAATGTTTATGAACTAATTAGAAAATGATCTAATCAAACTTGGCATTTTGTAAGGAGTGAGTTGTATCTCATGATTTTTCAAGAAAAATTTTCTAATTAACTAATTTTTAATTTGTCTTCAAAATTAGGTCTTGTTGCTATACGCTTACTGGAAATTTTATAGAGTTGACTTGAAAAATTTATTAACTGTAAGCTGCGTTGATAACATTTACAATGAATAATATATAGACAGAAATCATTTTATGGTAATAATTGCGGAATTCCATGAAATCCAATTTAAAATATTTCTTTCGATCAATTTTGCTAGAAATAACATAATTTAAATTTTGACGCACTTTTTTTTCATCCCGAACTCCCCCTTTTTTTTTAAAAAAAAAATGTTAATCAGGGATCGGATATCTAAAATATATATATAATATATATATAAAAAAAAAAAAAAAAAAAAAATTATCTTTGTACCGAGTATATATTTAAAACTCTACGAGCATTATTTTTATTATCCTTAAAAAAAAAATTTTTTTTGGCAGAATTCCAAATTGGATGGTTTAAATTTTGGACGGGAGCGTCACAAATGTATGATCTATAAATAAATTTTTGATAAATTTTGAAGATTTCCTTAAAAATGAATTCCCACAATTAATCCTTATTTGGATCCTAAAGAAATGAAGAATCTATAAACGGTATAGGTATTATGCAATTAGCGAGAAAGATCATTGTGGAATTTCCATTCAACAAGAACATTTTGATTACGTGAAAAGTAACCAATGGTTACAATATTTCATCTCAATAGAAAACATAAATCTATTATTACAACGCCCCAATTCCCCATTGATACTTAATTAAATTCGCGTTTTTTTTTCTCTTTTTACTCTGATTTGAAGAGTTAAAAGAAGGTTTCTGCAAAGCTTTTGAGTGTTTGCATAATATTTGAAAAAATTCCCAATAATTGATTCCGGGCTAAAAGTAATTCGATTTCCGGATCACAAAATCACATGATTTGATTACGTAGTTAGTTGTTTGAAAAAAAATTTTTTTCAATTATTTTTGATAATGATTGGCGTAACGTAGTAGTACTAAACCCAGCCCACTTCCTTTTTTGGGTTTGTGCCGTTTTTCTGCTTATATGTTGTGCACTTATAATAAAAACTCTTATTTTTCCTAATTGTATGATACTGCAAGTGCTTGCACTTCGGCTTTATATAACTTTTTCCAAAGGTTTTTTTTTTCTTCCTCTTTCTCCCAAAATAATAATATTAAATAATAATAATATAATTATAAACGAACGAAAGTCCAAGTAACGAACTAAGAAGGTGGGTAAAACAATTCTTTATCATATTTTTTTTTTTTCCTCACTAACCAAATTAATAAATTATTTTTTATTTATTTATAAATTTTTTTTTTTTTTTCAAAAATATCTCTCTCACGTAATATTTAAAAACTCATTTTTATAAATATCAATATATACCTATTTACTTTTTTGTTTTGTTTTTTTCTTTTCATCTTTAAAATCTTGGTGCCTTTTGTTTTTTAAACCCTCTTTTCTTTATATAAATATAAATATATATATATATTTCATCAAAAAAATTTTAGTTTGTTCTAAAAAAAAAAAAAATAACCTTTTTTTTCATTTATCTCCTTTTTTAAAATTTTTTATTATTTTTATTTTTTATTTTTTTATTTTTATTATTAATATTATTCTAAGAAAAAAAACACAGGGACGGAATATTAATTAATAGTATATATATATACACACCAATATAATAATAATAATAAAAAAAGAGGAATGGGTGGAAAAAATAGTCTTGAAGCATTAAATGCTGGTTCTGAAGACGAATGTGCAACAATTATAAGTGAAGATTCTGAAGCAGAAAAAGAAAGAACTGGATATTCAAGTCAAATAGAAGATAAGAAAATTGAAAAAGATATAACCTGTTTGATTGAAAATAAGGGCAAACGTGGAAGATCTCACCCGTCTTTTGAAGGCGATTATAACGATTTCGATGATGGATCTGAATTAAGTTCGGTGGGTTCAAAAGACGATGATTTGGATAGTGACAGTGAATATAAAGAGGAGGAGGAAGATGATGATTTAGCAAGGGCTGGGCCAAGTAGAACTGCTCAACCAAAAAGAAGAGGTCGCCCAGCAAAAAAGCAACAACTTTCTAAAGATAGTGATGATGATGAAGAATATAAATCTATAGGATATGCAGTATCTAGAAAAAATAGTGTAGTTAGTAAAACAGTTGGTAAACCTAGAGGAAGAAAACCAGGGAAACCGGGAAGACCAGCTGCACAAAAAGGTAAACCTGGTAGGAAAAAAAATCCAGTAAAACCCATTAATAATGATGAAGATAATAATAATAATGGTACACAACAAAATAAGAGGAGAACTGGTAGACGGAAAGATATCGATGAAAATGACGTCTATGCTAGAGACAGAGCAGGACAAACTAATTTACATCGAGCTTGTCAAGAAGGAAATTTAGAAAGAGTTATGGATTTAATAAAGAGAGGTTCAGACATTAATGCTCAAGATCATGCAGGATGGACGTCACTTCATGAAGCTGCCTTGGCTGGGTATTTGGAAATTGTTCAATTTCTTTTAGAACAGGGTGCGGAAGTTAATGCTGCTTCATTTGAAGATGGTGACACACCTTTACATGACGCAAGTGCCAAAGGCCATGCAGAAGTTGTCTGGGCTTTAATGCAATATGGTGCAGATCCGGAAAAAACAAATGTAAAAGAGGAAATGCCCGAAGATCACGCAATGGATGATCGAGTAATAGATTATTTGAGGACATCTGTTGAAATAGTCAGAACCCCCGTGAATCAAACTAATAAACAAGGACAATTACAGGATAAAAAGTCAAAGGATGAAGATAACAGTCGAATTGGTGATTCAATATTACCTAGAAATCAAAGGAAGAGACCACATTTTATGAGGAACTTTCAACCTTCAAAAGAACAAGAGACAAAAAAACAATCGAGCGGGGGAAAACGTGGAAGGCCACGTATCAGACGTGATGATAATAGCAGTGATAACTTAAGGTCTAATATTTATCCGACAGGTAACAGAAGACGCTCCTTCAGAGACGGTAGAAAGTTAAATGGGGAAACACATAATAACGGTGCAAGAGCGTTTACTTCAGCAAATGATGTTTTGAGAATGGACCTTCGATTTAAAGATCCATCAACTGGTCGAACGAACCTTCACTTGAACGCAAAACGTGGTAATAGTGAAATGGTTGCAAACATGATCGAGGCTGGGGCTCTAATTAATGCTAAAGATCATAATGGACGTACCGCTTTGCATGAAGCAGCTTATGAAGGTCATACTACTACTGTTGAAATCCTAATAGCTTTAGGTGCAGATGTTAATATCAAAGATCACAAACAACATACTCCACTTCATGATGCATCGCATAAGGGTCATGGTGATGTTGTAAATATACTATTGGCCAATAATGCTAAACCTGATGATAAAAATATTGATGGTAAAACCCCACTTGATATGGCTCGTAGAAGAAAAGATATTGTGGAATTACTCTGTGATTCCCTTGAATTGGATCCCGATGAATATTCGGGTACTCAAACCGACAACACACCATCCCAAGTGCGAATTGAATCAGATGATGATGACAGGATGTTATCGGGCGAAGAATCTTTCGAGGAGTCGTCAATACCTAACACAAAGAAAATAAAAGTGAATCATACAGTAAATACAGAGGTGGAACCAATGGAACTAGTAAATGTTCAGGAAAATACAAATTCAATTCTTAAAATATCCAACAGTGATGTTGGTCCATTTTATACGGTACAATTAGTCACAGATCGTCCAGGATTTCCAATAGCCGCAACGGCGGAACCTTCAAGTTCTCCTTTGTTTGTTGTCGATTTCCAAGTGGAACTGTTTTTACAATATCCATTATCCACCTTATTGGAAAAACATCCAAATCTAGTTCAAAGAGAAGTTACCTCTATAGAAAAGGAAAGATTATGGCCTTGTCTTCGTTCAATTGTATGGGTTCCGCCGAAATGTAAACGTCCTTCAGAGCTTGGAGCATTAGAAGCAGTACAGAGGGAGAGATTCCTAATACATAAAATGCATTTTGTAAAGGTAGGTTTTGAAGTTTATACAAACAATATAAATAAAATATACAAAAATTAATATTTTTACCTTTTTTTTCCCTCCTATGAATTTAGTTTGATCAAATTATCGAGGTTGCTAATCTTCCTCAAGAGGTGATACCACCAACAATACCATTGGATATATCAGATTACACAAACAATGAGATGGAAGACTCCGATGATTTAAATTGTGAAGATGATGATAAGAATGATTGTAATGTTATGGAGGTTGACTTCGCTTCCAAATTACCACTTACACCCACTTCACCAACCACACCACAATCCCAATGGGTAGTTCCCATGACAGAGACAAATCCAATACAACAAAAGATCAAGAATAGTCAACTTAAGACTTCATCTGGAATAATAAAGAGAAGTTACTTCAATCCTTCGCTTAAATTAGAATTAAAAGTTGGATCAATAGAGAACTTGAATAAATAAGAGAATCTGAGTTAGAATTTGTATAATTTGAAAGTTGACAGATTGTTTTCCTTTGTTGCGGTTGTTGCGGTTGTTGCGGTTGGTTTCATTTCTTCTTTGTAAAGGGGTACTCTGAATGTCCAAGGCCAAAGGTTTCTTATGAAAAGTTTGAATATATAAATATTTTTATAAAATAAACCCTATTTCACGGGTTTATTTTATTTTTTTTTGACAAAAAGCTGGCTTATTCAAAAATTGTTCCTGCAAAAAAAAAAAAGAAAAAGTTATTTCGAATAACGGAATATTATTTAATTCAGTTGGAGTTGTCATGAAAACAATTCTTTGTTACCATGATCCGGATGGGGATTCTCTGACTATTTTCATTTCATATTGATTTATGTCGATAATTGAGAAAAATGGGCAATAACCAAATAACCATAATTGACTGGACATTTAGCTGAACATTTTTATGGTTTTTGCAAATTTATTTTTCTTATCTAATGGTACTTTCTGCATTAGTTTTTGCCTGTTGCTAAGATTTTTTTTAACGATGTCGTTAATAATTCCTTTATGATAATTTGAGAATTTTTTTTAAAAGAAAAAATAGATTTTAGTTTTACTGTCGTTTTTATTGGAATTTAATTTTTTAAAAAAAAAAGACTATGAGAATTATTTACTTAGCTTATAATATTATTCAAGAATGTTTATTAGCAGTAATAATAATATATAATAAGTAATGAATATCACAGCTCCGAAACAAGTCGATCAGTCGATTGCGCGGTAGTTATCTAGACAAAAAAGAAGATATTTATTTTAATATAGAACTTATTTTTTTTTTTTTTTAATTTTTTATTTTTTATTTTTTATTTAAAAAAAATAAAAATAAAAATAAAATTTCTGTATTATTAGTTTCCCCCCCCCCCTTATTTATTTCTCTTCTTTTCCTTCCGATTTGTAATTAGAAAAAAAAATTTCTTTAAAAGTTACAGCAGAAAATTATAATTAGAATTAAAGGAGGTTGGGAATCTGTTTGATTCGAGATTTTTTTTTGTGGGGTTTTTTTTAAAAAAAAAAAAAATATTTATTTTTGTTTTCTCTTTTTTTAATTTAAAAAAAAAAATATATAATGTAAAATTTTTAGATTTTGTTTTATTTTATATTTCCTTTTCCTTTCTTTTGTGTCATTAAAAAAAAGCAATTGCATAAAAAAATATTTGTGAATAAAAAGTTAAAATGTATAAAAATTTTTACACAAGTTATAATTGAAGAATTTTGTTAATCAGGACCCTATATACATATCACCGTTATTAATGTAATTTGCATTTTGAAATCCGATGGTTTTTTTAAGAACGCATGATGTTATACTTTCTTGAAGAGACGAGAAGTGAATAAAGAAGGAAAAAAAAGTTGTTTGGATTTAAAAAGGTACATGTATGATAAATTTTCAAAAAAAAAAGATTATTGCGGCTGTGTTTGAGGTTGAGTATTTTGTGTCTCGGAGAAATCATCAATTCATCGACTCATTTTCTTATTAAGCCAATAAAAACCAGAAATTTATCAGTTGCATTGGCGGGATAAACGGAATAGATTTCATAATAAACCAGTTAAATAGCAGTTCAATTGATCGAGACAACACTCGGTTTGTGGTTTTTGAACAAATCATTGACAGACATATAAAGAGAGGCTTTTGTATCAATTTTACGTCACATTCTGGTACTTTTTATACGTCTCTGCTTTTTTTTCTTTCTCTGTGCTTTTATAAAACCTGATATCAAACTTGGGCGTGGTATAAAAAAAAGTGGAGATCAATTTATTATTTACAGGACTTGAAAAAAGGTCAGCTACGTTTGTTCTCTATTTTTAATTTTATGATGAAAATGAAGTGTTTTGATGAAATCCGTCAAATAAATAAATAAATAAAATAAATATGTGGTGTAGCATGATAATGACTTGAGAAACAAACAGAGAGAATAGTGGAATTAGCCATTGGCGCAGTATATTATTACGCCAACCATAATATATATTTAGTTTAAGGGGTTTCCTCTTTTTCAATTTGACGTTTTGAAAATATGTTGACAATCTAATTTAAATGAAACACCAACCAGGTATCCTAAACATCAAAAATATAAAAAAAGTAATAAAAAAGGTGGATCCATGACATCCCTTAAATTTGATGTTGTGTCTCCAGTACCGAAAAGGCGGGAAAATTTGAACATTTACAAAAATCAAGTTTTCAAACAATCTCATCATTGATATTATTTATTTAATTTTTTGTATATTACCTATAAAATATTATTTATTATTTTCTTTTCTTTTTTAAGTTTAACGTACTTTATTACCTATTATCATCATTACAATTCTTATTTTTTATCCCGTTATTAATCTCTCTTTTACCTTTCACCATATTCATTCTGTAATAAGAAGGTTATATGTCGTTTATCGGAAGTACTGAAACTCCTAATCAATATGATAATGAAATCCCTGTGGTTGACATGGTCTCAGCTTATGACTGGGCTTCTACTCCATTGGGTCCTATGGAAACCTGGGATTCTACTCTTAAATCCACCGTGGTAATTTTTTCAATGAAATATAATTTTTCTTGGATGATTTTAATTGATAAGGATCAATTGTAATTTTACTTTTAATTTAGAATTTGTGTCTACACTCAGTTTTTCCGATTGCAATATATTATGGTCCCGAGTTTGTTTCCATTTATAACCAAAGTAACGTCATTATCAAGTTGATTCATCATGTTAAATTTCCGAGTTATTTCATTTCATAATTTCGTTTTTATAGTGTGGAGACCGATATTAAAAATGAAACATCCTCAAGGTTGGTTCGAAACGTCCCTTGTATGATGTCATATCATGTGAAGATGTGATCATTTTTTGTTGATATCATTTTTTTTTTTTTTGCCTAGCAATGGGTAAGCCATTCAAAGAAGTATGGCCAGAAACCTATCATACAATTGAACCGATATTTAATGAGTAAATTTCTTATTATAAAGAAACCTTGTTCAATTTCTACAATTCATAACGAATGTTAATTATTCACAATCCTGAAATTTAGAGTATTGGCTACACGCAAAGGAAGATTTGAAAATGATATGCTTTTCATAACTAGTAGAGATGGTTACATTGAAGAGTCGTATGCTTCATTCACATTGAGTCCAATCTTTAAAGAAGATGGATCAATGGGTGGTATACTCAACGCAAGTCAAGAGACTACACAGAGAGTTTTGGCAAATAGGCGACTCAAAGCTCTGACGGAGTTAGGCAATAAGACTCCAGGTGAATTAACACATGATGAATTATAGATGCCGATTTTTTTTTGTTTCACGTGATTAATGCTAATCATTTACACGTCTAGGAGCGAAATCAGTTAAGAATGCATGTCATTTAGTAACACGAACAATACGCAACAATAATGCGGATATGCCTTATGCCTTAATTTATCTTATAGAAAATCATTCCACAACTTCAGAAACACCCCCAATTGATGTACCGAAAGCCCATTTAGTAGCAACAACATTCGACGAAGATTTAGATCTTCAAAAAGGTGTAGATGGAATTGATGAAATAAGTTTTGTACAAGATAAATCAAGGCGTGTTTTACCGGAATTTTTGTTGGATACCGAAGAAATAGTTGACTTGACAAATGTTTCTGATGAGATTGATGAATTAATAAAAAGTGATGGCAATAAAATAAGATCTACTATATGCGTTAAACCGGGCAAATCAAATTCTTTATCTTCTGATTTGGATAATGATCCAAAGTTTTGTACGCTGTTCGAAACGGGAGAAAAAATTATCACTAGTTCAGATTTCTCTTCAAGTTGGCCTTTACAATATGTTGCAAGAACAAATTTACATATCACCGTGACATTGAAAGATTATACGCATGCTGTGTTATTTCCGGTAAAAGATACATCAGGCACTTTAAAGGCAATCATTATTATTGGAATTAATAAACAGAGAGCACTTGATAAAGAATATATGGAATACTTGCACGTACGAAATTTAATTTTGAATTTTGAATGACTTCTTATTTAATTTGCTGGCACGTGATAGCATTATATATTAATTTTATGATGTGTGTGTAGCTCGTAGTAGGTCAAGTAAGTGTAAGCCTGTCTCATGGTAGATTTAGAGAAGAGGAACGTAAACAAGCTGAAATTCCTGCAAATCTGAATGATCAAAAAATCATGTTCTTTCAAAACATATCCCACGAATTACGTAGTAAGTTTGTATATATTTTTTTTAATTTTAATTTTAATTTTTTATGTTGAAATCTATTAAATTATTTTATCATTTTGAAATGATTAGCACCGCTTACCCTCATGTTATCTCCACTCGAAGAAGTGTTGGCAGAGTGTCCTCGTGATTTACCCATGTATTCGCATTTATGCATGATACAACGAAATACGAGACGGCTTCTCAGATTAGTTAATACGTTGCTACAGGTAAATTAGATTGAATTGGTTCTAAATTCAAAAGTTAAAGTTAATTAATTTCAAACAATGTTTTTTTTTATTTGATAGTTTTCACGTATTGAAACTGATAAAATAGAAGCAAATTATCATGAAGTTAAAATTGGACAATTAACCTCGGAATTAGCGGCCAATTTTGAAAGTATGGCTAAATTATTTAAATTGGAGTATCGAGTGGATATACCTGATAATTTTGATAGTATGTTGGAAAATAAGGTTTTTGTCGATTTAGAAATGTATGAAAAAATAATATTCAATTTATGTAAGTATTTCAGTTTATTTTATTTTTTTTTAAAAAAAAAATCTAGGCGCTTTTTATATGTGTACGTACACAGCATTAATTATTTATATGATTGTAGGTTCGAATGCTTTCAAACACACGTGGACTGGTGGTGTCACTGTAAGCTTATATGCTGATAGAAAAGAATATAAAGAAATTATCGTACTGGAAGTTTCTGATACAGGTATATTTGATTTTAACTTCTTTCGGATCATCGGTTCTCATTATGCTTACGTGATTTATTATCTTGTAGGGATAGGAATTTCTAAAGAAGAAATACCAAACCTATTCCGAAGATTTTATCGAGTAGAATCACGTCAGTCTCGTTGTCACGAAGGAACCGGTATAGGATTAGCATTGGTAAAAGAACTTGCATCGCTTCATGGGGGCGACATCACGTGCACGTCGGTTTTAGATCGAGGTACAACATTCAAGATATGTTTTCCCACCGGACATGAGCATTTACCTTCGAATAGAATTTTCTCCCGAGATGACATTAATAGAGGAAAGGGATTATTAACTTTGGATCGAAATAGTATATTGTTTGACAATAAACAATTATATCTTGATGAAAGTCTACAATGGATTCAAAATAATGATAGATCTCGTGAGGAAAAGGAAAATGAAAATGAACAAGATACTGAAAATGATATGATTGTAGATTCTGATGATGGTGAGATTGGAGATAATTATAGCGAGGAATATAAGGAATTGATCTTGGAGAGTAAAGGAAAAGAGTTTCATGTCATTGAAGATCCTATCCCTTTAATTAACTCAAAGCATGTGGTATTGTTGGTCGATGATAATGCTGACATGAGAAACTATCTTACTGGATTGTTGCAAAAAGAATTTATCGTTTATAGTGCATTCGATGGACGTGACGCTCTGAAATTACTAAAGAAATTAAAATGTCCACCTGACTTAATTCTAAGTGGTATGAGAAATTTAAAATCAATTGTTTTCGTGTAAAACCTATTGTCACTTTATCATTCTCTTAAAATTAATTATACATACACATATATATAATAGATATATTGATGCCTAATATGAATGGATATGAGCTGCTGAGAAATATTAGAAATCATCGTGCAACTCAATCAATTCCTGTTATACTTTTATCTGCCAAGGCCGAAGAAGGAGATAACATTAAAGGTAATTTATACATACACGTGAAAGATAAGTAACAATGAATTTATCCTAAATCATCTTTTTCATTGTTTCGTTATTTATTTTCATTAAAAGGTTTAGACAAAGGAGCGAGTGATTATTTAACTAAACCCTTTAGTGCACGGGAGCTTATAGCGAGAGTTCGTGTAAACATTAAACTTTCTTATCTGCGTCAACAACTTTATCTACATCAATGTCATCAGGCTGAGACAAAACAACTTTTATTTTCCATCTCAAATAAAATTCATTCCGGATATGATTTAAAAGAGACCCTTGCATCGGCTGTTGAAGAGATACATAATATATTACCATCCGATAGATTATTTGTAGTAGCCAATGAACAATTTGAAGGGGGTGATGATGTCATTGTGGCATTTTCAGCTAAAGATAAAAATGAAACTAATTTGGAAGGACATACAGTAAAGTATACCTCGGAGCAAATTAAAAAACAAAGTGATCCAAAACTTTCAGGAAAAATTGTTGATATTGGAAAAAAAGGAGTATTATGCAGTTCTTGTGGTGGAAACAAGTTGGAAGACCATTTTTCAATTGCTAATAAAACTTTATCAGAAATAGAAAATGAAAATAAGTTTATTAAACCTGAATCACAAATAGCCTCGATTGAGAATATGGTACAACATTCCGATCATAAGGATTTGGAAATTGCCATAATACCAAAATTCTATTCAGTCATCGTACAAAATCATGTATCATTATTGGCAGTGGCTATAATAGTAAATAATTCTATTTGGGGATGGATCAAAGCACATCGACTACCAAATCATAATTGGTTAGATTGGGAAAAAGAATTTTTACAACAAATTTCGAATCAAATAAGTTTGGCTATTACACATTCCAAATTATCAGAAGAAAAATTGAAAAAGGATGCACAAATGGAAGCCGCTAAAGCTGCGAATGAAGCAAAAGGTCAAATTTTGGCTAACACTAGTCACGGTGCGTATAAGGAAGGAAACGACTTTTACGCGTATTTAACACGATCATTGAACTTTTTTTATTATTATTATTGTTGTTTTTAGAATTAAGGACGCCATTAGGGGCAATTATTGGGGTGTTATCGGCACTTGAAGAGACCCCGCTGACAGAAGATCAAAAGGATATGATCGACATAATGTCACGTGCATCTGACGTGGTACTCTCTGTAGTTAATGATATTCTAGACGCGGCAAAATTGGAAGCACAAAAGATTAAATTAATGAATCGAGCGTTTAATCTGTTTGATTTGGTAGAAAAAACACTTGAATTATTTGGTGAAAGAGCTGGTACTAAACAAATTGAATTGATATTGGATTGTGAACCAAATAAATTACCCAAATTTGTGATAACTGATCCGGAAAGGTATCACGATCGAATAATATTCATTGTGATTTTTTTTTTTTTTTTTTTTTTGAAAACTGATTACAATTCCTTTGAACTTATCACTTGCTTTTAAATAGATTTCAGCAAGTATTGGTGAATCTGTTATCTAATTCGTGAGTATTTCGTTCTCGTCATCTCATAAAATTCCATGATTTGCTAATTCATAAGGATATACTAATTTAGGATAAAATTCACTGATAACGGACAAGTCATACTTAAAATCTCAATTTCTTCATGTGGTGATGTGATTGAAGAGTCATCTGGAGCAAAAGGACATGAATTTAAGGGCAAATCCAAGTTACTCGTTGAAATAAGTGATACCGGTATTGGGTAAGTTGCAAAGGGTATATTGGATATTTAATTTCTCTTCACATAATCCTAACAAAATTCATATAATTTTCCTTTTTCAGAATCGAACCAGCATTTATAAAAGTTATCTTTGATAGTTTTTCACAAGGTGATGCGTCCATGACACGAAGACACGATGGTACAGGACTTGGTTTGTCGATATGTAAACATTTGGTGTCAATTAATGGGGGAGAATTAAGGGTACAAAGTGAACTTGGAAAAGGAAGTAAATTCTGGTTTACGTGGAACATTGAACCTTTAGCGATGTCGGTCACACAAACAACCTCAATACCTCAAATTTCACAACCATTAACTTCATCGGAAGAACCAACAACTTTAACATTTCCTTCAATGATACGATCCAAACGGGTTCTAATTATAGATCCTGTTGAAAATGCGAGAAATTCTTTGGTGAAATTGATTCGTGCTAGTATAGATGTAGTTGATGCTTTTGATAGTTGTGAAGAAGGAATTAATAAAGCAAGACAATTAAAAGCAGAACAAAATGGATCACCATATGATTTAGTTTTCTTAAATGTATATTTAGAAACTGCAGAAATAGTTAAGAGAGCCGCGCTACAATTAAGATTAATTTGTGGTCAAGGTTTATCTATAGCCTTTTTGGTATTTTGGAGTGTCAAAGGAAGGGCCTTAGGAAAGGTTCTTATTAATCAAATAGGAGGACATGCAGCTGCGCTATGTAAGCCTGTAATGCAAAAAAAATTATTTGACTGTTTGTATAATAATAGTTTATTTAAACAAACTGATACTTCCGACACATCAGAATATTATATGAGGGAATATAATGCTATTAGATCTTTAGTTGATATTCGAACTGACAAGTTTTATTATAATAATAGACCTACATCATCTATAAATGAAAAAGTTCAAATGACCATTGAGGGTGTAGAGGACGATCTTCGATCACGCAGGGAAGATATAAATGCGATGATTATTGATCAAGATTGTGTTAGTAAAGATCAAAAGGTTAATGTAATTGAACAAGTTTCTAATAAAACTTCAACTGGCAAAGCAGCAAATGTTGTTATTGGTGTCAAAAGAAATGTCAGCGAAAAAAATGATAATAACCCACGTGCTCAGAAATCCAGGTCAAGAACCATGCCTAAATCAAAGTGTATTTTATGCGTGGTAGGTTTTCTTTTTGAACAAGAAATAGTATATGAAGATTTTTATTTGGTGACTCATGGAAGTTTAATACCTTTTCTTTTTTTTTTTTGAATAATAAAGGAAGATAATCCGATAAATCTAAAGGTGATTAAACATCAATTATCTAAACTTGGATATCCTACTTTATCTGCCACAAATGGACAAGAAGCCATAAATTTAGTAGAGGCTGAATATGCGAATTTACCTTCGGATCATAATTCTAGTTCTCTAGATGGTAATCTGAATAATTCATCTGACACCTCTTCAAGAATTTCTTTAATTTTAATGGATTGTGCCATGGTAAGTACAATATTTAATAATTAAAAAAAAAATTTTTTTTATCTATATTTATTAAAATTGTAAGTTTTTCCTTTTAGCCAATATTGTCAGGTTTTGATGCATCGATATCTATTAGACAGATGCAACCTCCAGCTTCTAACATACCTATAATAGCATTGACTGCTTCAGCAGTACAAGGAACTCGTGATAAATGTCTCGAAAGTGGGATGAATGATTTTCTAACAAAACCACTTAGGATTCCTGAATTAAAAGAGATGTTAAATAAGTGGCTTGGAGATGACGAATAAAAATAGTCAGCAGAGTTTGGTCGTAGGCAATGATGATATTGCTTATATAAACATATTTAATATTAATAATATACTTTAAAAACTGTCAGAAATTGTATTATCCTTATTTTTAATTTTAAGAAAGATTTTTAATTTTTCTAATGTTAATACTACTATATGATTCTAATATAAAAAAAAAGTCAATTATAAATTTTCATGGCTATAAAAATTAACGATTCCTTATAATACAAAATAACCTTAAGATACAGGATCATTTATTAACCATTTTATTAACCATTTTTATGTCGATTATATTTATGTGTATATATTGCTTTTCTTTATACTTTCTTGTTCAATTAATTATCATTACCAAATTCCAATTTTCCATTTATCCTCCTCTTTAAACTTAAATTACGTTTTCACAATTAATTTTTCCATCTATGAATACAATTAATTACCTTTATGATATATAAACTATCAGAACAAGAATCATTAAGAATTTTTTTGTAAATCTTTATCGAAATTATTTTTTATCAAATTTGAATTTATTACTTAATTCTCAATCAAATTTACTTTGCTAGTAAATATCTTTAATAATAAAATATGTATGGTTAGGAGAAATTCAATAAATGACTTAATTGATTTTTAAATATTTTTTGTCGAACTAAAAAAAAGATTTTCTTAATTTCTCATTGGACTTACTTGTTTAATGTTTCATTCTTAAAGAAACTTTTATAATCAGATAAACCATAAACGAAGAGTAAGTGTTTAAATTTTATCTTTATTGATTTTGAAAAAAATTCAATATTCTTTATTAAAATGACTTTAATTTTCTGTATAATTTAAATCTTGTACCATGGACCATATCGCAATTAAAATATCGAAATTACATAATCTTTATCCATTTTCCGGTTTACATTCTGAATCAAATCAATTTTCTAGTCATATTTAACTATTACGTAATCAATGTCAGAAAAAAAAAATTAAACCCCATCATCCAACACATTATATTTATATTTTTTTTTTTTTTTCAAATTAAATGAGAAGATGGTTGATTAGGAACGTTGTTAAAGGGGTAATTGCGGAGCGGAGGACAAAAAAAAAAACAAGAATAAAAGTTGAATCAACCGTTTGTAATTTGAATGCTTCTGTTTTATAACTTTATATGGGATCAAATCAATACCTTTATTATATATTTTATTGATTTTGAAATTATTGGAATATTGGAAATTGAAAATTTCTTTATATTTAGTATTCACACCAACTTACTTATTATGTTTAATAGTGCATTTTTATTGATGAACATGTCTTATGTCCTGTAACGAACGTTCCATTATGAGAACAAATGCATCATCCACATTTCCTCTTCGTCGGAAAAGTTTATTAGTTAATCTTGTAAATATTACAATCGTTTGAAGAGCAAAATCGAAATTTCATATGTATCGATAAAATAATATTTACATAGTGAATTTTTTTTTATTATTTATTATTTATTATATTAAAAATCCCAAACAATCCCTCTTTCCACGCAACCCGCTATAATATATAAAGGATTACCACTTATGAGCTACATGGTAAAAATCGATCCCTATCGATACGTATGAAAGGATATCTATTATAAAGAAAAGGAAAATAATGTAAAAGTTAGCAGGGAGTGACACACTCGCATTCCATGTCTAGGGAAGCAAATTCCTTTAAGCGACTATTCCTTGAGCCTCGCTATGCTAACAATCTTGTAGACTGTATCATTAAAACTTTGGTAAAACAGGGAGCGCAGTTTACCTCGTTAAAAAATCTTTATCCAAAGACAGTCAGCCTATAGCCATACAAGAGGGTGTCTAAACACTCACAAGAGTGAATACAACAAACAAATGAATTCTACTCTTATTTACATTAAAAAAGTGAAAAATATGAAATTGTGGGATACAAAGATCTTCATGATACACACTAATTATGGAAATATATGGTTGATCTATCCGTAAACATGATTTTATAATAATTAATTTATATATATATTTCAAGCCTTCAAAAATTTCACACATTTAATTTCCAAATAGTTGTATTAAAATGTACCCGAAAGGAATCCTATTTTGGTAATTGAAAATCATATCAAAGCTTTTTGATGAGTTTACAAGTCAAAACATTTGCCAACTATCGAAGCTTTCGCAGTTTTGACATTTAAAAAAAATGTTTACCAAATCGGCAAAATTAATTTGATTTTGCCCCCATCAAATGCATTATTTACCATGAGTGGCAATTTCCCGTGAAGTTACAATATAAACTTTCGCTGTTGCAAATTATTCCATAACCATAACCAAAAAATAATGTGGTCATGTAAATTTTTACACAATTATGCCAAGCCTATAAAAGAATAAAATTTCAATATTGCCAAGGATTCTGTGTAAAAATAAAACCTTTCTGTCATTACTTACTGTTATCTTCGTTAGAATTGTATCATCTTGTGTGTAGTTGTATCTCTCTATAATGCTCTCAATCAAATTTGGTAAAATATATCGATTTTCCTAAACTTAATTCTACACGTTTTATGGTAAATAATGTAATTCGCAAATATACGTGATATTAGGAGCCATTTGAAAATGTGAATGTATATCACCCGAATCAGTTGTTTTTATATACCGTCCGTACATAATTTTAATAAGGCAAACAATATAAATACTTATAGAAATGTCATACATGATAAACTTGAAAGTAGAGGTCGGAACCGGTTTTGATTTTACAAACCGGTTTTATTTATATCCCCAAAATTGAAACCGCATATAAACCGGTTAAAATCGATAAACCAATAAACCGGTTTAAACCGATAACCGATAAATCGATAAACCTTAAATATTAAATAAAAACTTTATTTATAGTATACCGTTAATATTTATTCAATAAAAGCATTGTAAAACACTAAATGTTCAATTATTATTAATTATTACTAAAATTTAAAAGCATTAAGTATTAACTATTGATAATTCAAACAAAATTATTAACTTTCTTGTGGAGGAAACATTTCAAAATAGGTGTTATTATGTTTTAAAAACAAAACCTTATTTACTAAGTCAGGTGCCAAACATGTTCTTTTCGCCAAAATATGATTGCCGGCGTCAGAAAACAATCTTTCGCTTAGAACTGACGTTACCAGAATTGAAAGATATTTTCTTGCAAGTTGTGTTAAAACAGGAAAACTATTTTTATGATTTACCCACCAAGTTAAAGGGTCATCTTTAACCTTAAGATTTCCTAATTTTGCATAGCGTGATACTTCGTCATCATCTTCTGTGTCTGTTTGTGTAATATCACCTTCAAGATCATGAAAAAAATCACCATCATCATCATCTTGATTCTCATCTTCAGTATCGTATGGAACTTGGAGATTTACTTTCAATACACTATATAGAGTTTTTACCAAATGATATGCCTTATCTCGTTCGCCATTAGATGCCCAATTAAAATGTTTAAATCTTAGGTCAATAAATGTGGCAATTAAGGCATTATAAGACGGAACGGACCATAATTCATCTAATGAAAGATAAATTACAGCTCGAACCCTTTCAAGCATCCCAGTAATATTAACTGGTGGTAAATATTCTACCTGATTTGTATCTTCTGCAACGCTTTCAGTTCGTGTTCGTTTTCTTATTGGTCCTTGTTGAGTTTGTCCCCTTCCTCAGCCACGAGCACTCATTCTTTGATTAAATTGTCAATGCGCATATTGCCATTGTTGACGAGTGCCAGCAGTAGGTATGTCATCATCAAATATTTCATCGTCATTTTCTTCACAACCTTCTCCATAGATAAGATTTAGATATGAATCAACTGTCTCATTTTTGTCTGATCTTAAAGTAAATTTTTTTTAAGTAACTCCATATATGAGTGAACAAGATTAAGCGTTGGGTAATTTGCGTCACACAAATGTCAGGTCACAATTTCAATCGGCTCCAATAACTTTACAACTTCTTGTAAAAATCTATAATGTAAATAAAAAAAAATAATAAAATAATTAGAAAATATAAACAGAAAAGAAGTTAATAAAAAAAAACTATTCTTTTTCTGCAACTGATAAACAAAGGCGTTCTAATTTTTCACCTTCTTTTTGGGAAACGCGATCTGATTCAGAAAGTAACAAAGTCGAGATGTATCTTATAAAATTATGTAATTCTAAGATACATTTCCAAGCCAAATAGGTGGAATTCTACCTGGTTTTTACGTCTGTTAAAAGATCAAGAGAGCTTTGAACAGTTTCTTCTTCAGCTTAATTAGATTTATCTTGCATCTCATACAAACGTTGAGCCTGCTTTGGAAGTTGAAAAAAGCCTGCAAGCCTTTGACACGACGGTGTATGGCTTTACATTGCTTCAGTCCTTCTTGGATTGATAATTGTAATGTATGCGCAGCATAAGGTTGACGTTTCATGCTATTAATGTAATTATTATTTAACAATCTTATTCCCTTGACCATGTTAGCACCATTATCCGTAGCAATAGTAAAAACTGTTGTCTTAAGATGCCATTCGCAAATTATCTGAAATAACTCTTCACTAATTACTTCTCCAGTGTGTGGGTATGGAAGATGTTCACATGAAAGAAGGGCTTCTCGAAATTGAAAATTGGAGGACAACCAAGTTGCCGTAACACCTAAATAACCATGTCGGAATTTTGCAGTCTATAAATCAGTAGTCAAATGGATGCTTGTTACATTATTACGAAGTAAAGAGCTGAGTTGTTTATAGCTCCAATTGTATGCTTCATGTATTAGTCCCTTAGCGGTTTTAATACATGAAATACAAAATCCTAGCTCACACGCATAAATGAACTCACAAAAAACCGATTTTGTAAGATATAAAGAGGTAAGACCAAATGAATAATAAACTGGATCAATTTTCTTGCTAAAAACTCTTGTCTTTTAGCTGGACATGGTGGTGCTGCATTATTTGTATTATTGTAATAATCTGTTATTTAGATTTGATCGTATTTTGGCTAATAAGAAAATTATCAGCTATGTTATTAAAAATTACCAATATACAAATCAAATTCAATAATATAATAATTATAATTAATAATCTTACCTCTTTATGTTTATCCAAATACTGAGTGTAATTATTTTTGGTTATATTATGGCTATCTCGTAAGTGGTTTATCATACTTATTGTGTTTTCACCTTTACGAGTATATGCATAAGGCTTTTTACTGGTTCCTACAAGATTAAGCTCGCATATTTTACAATATACTAACTTGGAGTTATTATCATCTACTCAAAAGAAAAAAAAGGTATGACTTTGATTACTATGCTTAGCTGCTATGTTGGATTTTCATTTTTTTCGACTATTCTTTGATTGTGCAGACTGTGTAATATTGGAATTATCATCGATATCTGAAACTGAATGTAAAGTAGACATTTGATAATTGGTATTTTGATTCATTCAATTCAACAATTACTTAATTTATGGATATACAATTGTTTGGTTCACCATCCCAACACTCCAAAAATATATTAAAAAACAATTTTATTTTTAAATTCAAATCGTTAAAAATAAAACTTTTTTTTGATTTTGTAAGAGATTATCTTAAATATTAGATTTTATATTAACATTGTAATCTAACTATAATCTGTATTCCTGTACTCTGTAGTACAAAATTAGTCAATTAATCAAATATTGATAACTGGTTTTAACTTTTAACCGGTTATAATAAAACCGGGTTATCAATTTATAAAATTTCCGAATTGTTTATAATCTGAACTGATTAAAACCGGTTATAAATCCGATATCGATAACCAGTTCTAACCTCTACTTGAAAGTAGCAGAATACCTATATAGTTGACCATATATTAAGTGTGCTATAAGTATTATATTATTATTATTTTCCTTGTGTAGTTAATTATTGATTAATTTCCTAATTATTTTTTTTCTTTTACCATCTAGTGAATTTGAAATAATCTAGCATTCGAAAATGAAAAAGTAATAAAGTGAAACAGCTTATATTATATTGTGATAATGCCGTTACTTCGATTTAGTTTAGAGGATATGCCAAATAGAAGAAGAAAATTTTATTTTTAGTTAAGGAGCGGTCTCAATCTGTGAGATTCATTTAAAGCTGATTTTACTTTAGAGTAATACGCGACAAAACTTGACAAGTAAATCTTAAAGGAATTGTGATGATTATAAGTAAAGAACTTAAAATATATCATAACAATTATACACTCACAGAAGACAAAAATCTTTTATATGCTTATTATTTAATAACTTTAAGAAATAATTTAAAAATTTTGCTAATGTAGTACAATATAGTATATCCATAAAATTCACTTAAATGATTAAATTGTTTTTTGAATAGTATTTAATAAATTCTTCAAACAAATATTTTCAATTTCTGTATGTCTAATTTTAAATCTTATATTGTCTGATTATAAAAAAGAATTTGGTTCAAGAGTGTTAAACTGGAAAATATATCATCTATTACTCAAAACATTCCTTTCCTTTTAAAATAGGAAGGAAATAGATGAATAAATCAAGTATTATAAAGAATTTTTATTTTGGAATCTATATCAGAAAAATGTTAAACCTGATATAAACCCATCCAACTTTATTTTTTTTAATCTAAATAATAACAGTTTACCTAAGAAAGAGAAGACAAAAGAAAATTCTTAATGCTGATTTGTTGAAAAAAGGTTATGTTACATTTTGCAAGTCATATGTACAGTTTTTGATTTTTTAACTTCTAAAAAAATAAGAAAAGTTTGATACAATTATTTGTATATGGATTATTATACTATGCGTTAACTATGGAAGTGATAATTCAAAATTATATATCCTATATGTATGAAAAAATGGTGTGTAAATTGCTTAAAAAATAAATTTTGTGATATGTAATTAGAAACTTTTTAAAAATTTTGTAAAATGAGAAATAAAAAAGCAGGTGCAGGCTAAACTAACTATTTTAAAAACTGTATTATCTGCAAGTGATCAAGATTTTTCCAGGAAGTGAAAAGGTAGATCCAAAGCAGTAATCATCTGTCAACATAATGAAAATGTGATTTGCTCACATATTTCATTTATAGAACCCATCCAATAGACGAAAATTCTTTGTAGGATAAAATATATAGGACCAGTTATAGATAGTAATAAAACTATATGCTGTAAATATATTTTGACAGTCCTTTACATAACTGCTATCCTTCTGATCATCTCTCCTATTCAATCTGATATAACTGATTTAAGTAAATACATGTAGAAATGATCTCAGAGTAATGTATCAACATTTATCCCAGTAATACCAACACTTTTTTCACTCTTACATGATTTGTCAATAATCCTTAAAAATAAAGAATAAAACTTTAGATGCAAATGTTATATATTTTAAACTTATGTATTATGTGTATTTTTGTCTGATCTACAAGTTTACTTAGACAATAAAAGTAGGATAGATACATCTTTTATTTTTTCAATATTATGAATATGAATACTGTCATGATATTACCATTCAAATCTATATTACTAGTCTTCTAATCCTTATTTAAAAATTATAACTTTTTCTAAAAATACTTTAAACTACTTTTAAATAATCAGATGACAATATAAGGATTACCAATCAAATTCTGGTATCAATATTTACTTCTTTTCTATTCTGATATTATATCTGTTAGATTTTATTATATGGTATAAGCTAAAAATTTGGCTAATTTAAATTAGCAGTATTAAAAATAAAAAAATATTATTTCTTATATTTCTAACTGTTTTATCATATCAGATAATTTAAAATATTGCTTAGACTAAAATTGTCTATTATAATATAACAAATTATATTTGATAGATAAACTGAGTTGTAGTTTTAACTATGCAATTTGAAATAGTAACAGCTTCAATCTATTTAATTAATACTCAATTATGACTATAATATATTAATTTTCTTAAATAGTTTATATATGATCTACTATATGAGTATTACTTTTGATCATTTTCTAAACATTCTTAATTGTAAGCTGTTTGCCATTTAGTCTTTGCCTAATATAGATTTTCCCTTTCTATAATGTTCTTCATAATATCTAGGAATTTAATGCAAAGTAACATTATTAAGAATGACACATAAATATTTCATTCTTATATTTGAATAAATATGAAAATATTTGACTGAATTAATATCTCAAATATATTCTAAATAAAAATTAGTCTTATCTATTAAATATAGAGTTAAAAAGACATAAGCAATATAGAATATAGCTAGGCATATTAAATTTATTAATAATATTGCTAATATTTAATTATATAATAGGATTATTTTCAGACTGCATTCAAGTAAATGTATCATTAATAGCATGACCTTTACTAAGTAATAGTAAAGGAGCTAAAATAAAATTATATTTAATTATATTCTCTATATTATTATCACTTATATCTAAGAATTTACCTTTTACATGATAGAGTTCATCTTCTAGGTTACATAATTGCAAAAGATAATTGTTAATAGGACTATCATCAAGTAAAAAATATAGGATATATTATTAATAATAATATTTATATACAGTCAAACCTTGATATAATGAACCCTTAATATAATGAATTGTTAAATCAAATATATTAAATATACCTTATTATAATGAACCAGCCAATTAAATTCTTTAAAAATTCATTATAAGCTTATAATAAAGATGAGATTCAGATCCTAGAGTTTGTTATATTAAAAATTCACTGTAATATTAGTTATTATCTTTTAACTAACAAAATGCTTGTCTAATTTTAGTATAATGAATATTAAAGTTTCTGAATAATATTAAACTATCTGTAAACTGATAACATATAATAAATATACTGTGAACTCTTGATATAATAAACTCTAGGATCTGGATTTCAATTTCATTATAAACTTATAATAAATTTCTTAAAGAATTTAATTGGTTAATTCACTATAATAAGGTAATTTTAATACTATTTGATTTAAAAATTCACTATATTAAGGGTTCACTATATTAAGGTTTGACTATATCTAATGATAAGAAATAGCAGAAAAAATAGATTATAAAATTATCTATATTTTGGAAAAAACTTATAACACAATATGTGTATTAACTTATATGAAGATAATATACTAAAACATTAAGAAAAATCTATATAATTAACATTAACTCTATCTCAGTAAATTTCTTTAACTCATTAAATATATTATTCAGATTCATATTATTTTAGTAAAAATTTTTCTTTAACTAATTTTATTACTATAATAGTAATAACATATTTTACAATCAAATTTGAAAAACTATTAAAAATTACAGGAAGCAGTTTTTCCTAATAATTTAGATATTCATCAAATATTTTCTAAAACTCAGTATCATATTTTTTATTACTTTAATTTAGTAGTCTCTAAAATGTAACATTATCTTTCTTATTACTTTTGTTTATAATTTTTAGTTAAACAGATTTTATGTTATTCAGTAATCTCTAAGAATTTTTTATTCTCTTATTTTTATATTTTTATGATCATTAGTATAATAATGTATTTCATGTTTATCAAGAGTTTTTCACCTTCTCTTCTTTTATATTTTCTAATTAAGTTAATAGTATAATCAATTGAGTTGCAACTTAATTGCGTTATAAGAAAATTTAATTGCATCACAAGTTGCAACTCAATTGTGAAAACAAGAAATTATTATTGGTTTATTAAATTAAAAATGTTTTCAATTAAATTTTTACAAATATTTTTTAGTTAATAATATGATTACTTTAATAAAATATTTAATTATAATATAAATAATGTTTTGTAATATATTTTATTTAATTTAATTGTTTATTTTATTTATTTTTTTAAATAAAAAATTTTTTAATTATATAACGTTTATAAGAAAATCATGATTTTAAGAACTTAATTTTTTTTGTAACACTAACTTTAATTTATTTTATAATTTTATAATACAAATAATTTAAAATGATATACTTTAATTTTATTTTATAACCCAAATAATTTATATTTTTAATTTAATTTAAAATTATAATTGCTTGATATAACAAAAGAAATATTATATAATAACATAAACAGAATATTATTGGTTAATCAGATAGATAGAACAACATAATATTGCATTACAAATACCAAAGGTCTTCGCTATGCTTTAGACAATTAGTTTTAAATTTATATTATTTTTATATAATTATAATAAAAATGTGATTTAAAAGATTTATTTATATACAAATTTATTATAAAAATATAATTTAAATTGGTTTATATAAATTAATATTATATTAGTAATAGATAATTATTAGGAAGTGTTATTCTTAGCTTAGTGGTTAAGCTGCAAGTCTTCTATATACTATGGTTGATTAATCTATTAATCAATATTAATTATGTCTAAATACTATATGACGTTAGAATATGTAGATGTAAATAAAACATTAAATTAACAGAAATTTAACTTTTGCTGATTAGTTTGTAATAGATACAATCTTATGTTTTACCCTGTAGTGACCTTTAATAAAGTTTAAGAAAATGATTAATCAGAATTTAGTAGATTAGATCAATGGTGATATTGCATGTTACAACATTATCTAATTAAACTATTACTAGGATTAAAAATCAGATTCAATTCCTGATTTGTTTGATGAAATGGATATGATAGTCATCTTACTAGTTTACTATTAGGCAAATCTTGTGATATTATTCTATGAATCCTACAGCATTAGTTAGATAAAATATAGGCAGTAATACTCCTATATAATCTGAAGTGATTCTTTTATTCAAATTTGGTAGAACTCAGGCTACTAAAAATACCTATACAAAAAGCCTCTTAAAAGAACACATAGGATCTATTCTAGGAAAATCCTTATACAGGTGGTACAGTCTAAAAGTAGATGATTATCTCATTAAGATTTAAGTATCTTAGTGTTGAGATCTTAAGAGTTTACATAATTAGTATTAGATATTGTAAAATATGTTTTTATGCTTACTATCATCAACCCCAGCTGATACATCACTTGTAAAAAAATTGTATTAAATAATTATTTATTTAGTAATCTAAAAATATATAATTTTAAATAATTTAAGTTTTTTAAATATTATCACTTAAAAGATTAATATAAACTATTTATTAGATTTATCTAATTATGATATATCTAATGATTCTATAATTATATTTTTAATATCAATAAATCAAAAATTATATTAGTTTAAAATATTTTAAATTTTTAAAGAATAATTTTTATTTGCAATTGATTATTTTGTTAAAATTATTAATAATTTGATATTTAAATTTATTTTAATTTAATTAATAAATTTAATTTTTTTAAATAAAATTAATATTATTTTTATATATAAAATTATTTGATCATAATTTTTATAAAATAGATTTCTATTTTTTTCTACTTCTAAAATATAATGCTATTAATTTTATCAAAAAAACTTTTTTTTTTTTAATTTTTTAATATTTTTTTTTGTTATTTTATATATATTTAACCTTACAATTACAATTTTCTATAAAAAATTAATTATAAAATACACAAATTTACCATATAACAAATATATTTGTTTAGTAATAATACACAGTATTTATACTAAAAAAATTGTTAACTTAAAATCAATAAATATATCAAATACATATACATAGAATAAATAGAAAATAATGAATATAATAATAAATAACGGTAAAGGTAATAAGAATAAAACTATTAAAATCAATTGTAAGTTTATGGTTCTTTTTCTTTAGTTAGAGTGAATTCTAATAAAGTTATGAAATATTTAATAAAATAAAATTCTATTATATGGAGAAATAAAGTATCAGCTTATTTACCTTTTGACCCAATTTCAGAATTCGCTTCTATACCATTTTTAATGGGACTATCTTGGTTATATTGTTTAACTCCTAATAATAAGAATAAAAAAAATTAGATTATATTATATTACAAACTCTAATAATTAATGACTATGATTAGGCAATTTAGCCAAAAATCATCGGTTATATTACCTAGTAAAACTTGTTTTTGAGTTTCATTAACATATGGTTTTTCTAATAATTTAAAAAAAAAAATTTAATATCCACCTTCATCATAATTGATATTAAAAATTTAATTATAAATAATAATTAACCTTCAAATTTTTTATTTGGATCTCTTTCTTTTTCTATGGGTTTTTCTGGTTTGACTTCATCTTCGTGCTCTTCTATTGGTTGCTGATATCCACTATCAACCTTTTCTTTTTGCGGAGAATCTATATCCTCATAAATTATTTCTAAATTCTTATGATTTTTTGGTGAAGGTACTTCAACCAAAAAATCCAATAAATGACTCTTCATCGGGTTATAATTATGATCTTCTTGATTAAGTCTCTCGGTTACATTTTCTTTTAGCTCATTTCCACTTTCTTCTTCATCCTTCTCTTCTAGTTTATTATCTCTCTCCACTTGCTTTCCTTTATTCAACCTTTCGACTCTACTTTTCTCAGCATCTATAAACTGTCGAACAACATCATCATCTCCAAATCTACTAAATGACAAAACCAAAGAATTTTTTGATCTTTCTATATTCCATGCACTTGTAATTTTCTTAACGTCTTCAATATTCGGTCGGTCTTCTGGTTTTGATGCCCAACAATTTTTCATCAGATTCAACCAACATTCCGGAATGGTACCTGAGGCAACATCATCTATATTGGGTCTTCTTCCATTCACAATTTCCGTTGCCAAATTAATATCATGCGGTTGATCATGAAAAGGTTGGCTATGGTGATTATATTTTCCTAAAGTAGCACTATTTGATAATTCCCACATAATAATCCCTAAACTATAAATATCTGAACTCTGTGTATACTGTTTGCCTTGTAGGACTTCAGGAGCAATATAAGGTAATATTCCATATAATTTTCCCTTTTGCAAATTTATCATTGATTGGGCTGGTGATATTTTCGGTTCTCTGGTTGGACCAATAATTGTAGTATTAAGATCAGTATTTCCGCCCAAAGAAGTTGCTCCGCTTGTATCATTTCCACTTAAGGATGATCCAGCTGGTCCCCATAATCCACTATCAGAGATCAATGTTCTCACAATCGAAGTATTAAATCTCCCGGTTTCTTCTTTTCTCGTATTATGTCTAAGTAATATATTACCAGTATGTAGATTATGATGTATTAAGTTCGCTTTATGTAATTCATAAATCCCTCTTACGATTCCATGTAATATACTTATACGTTGGCACCAATCTATGCTAACACCGTTTTGATTCAGATACTTATGTAAGTCATGATCATTTGCGTATTGTAACACTATGAAATAATCTTTCGTTTGTGGATCTTGTGTTAGACCATACATCCTTGAAAATTTTGAGGATTTTTTTGAGGCAAGATATAGTGTCTTCATCTGAATTTAAGAGGAAAAAAAATGAAGCGAATTTGAAATATGAATTGATAAATTCTTTAAAAGGGGATAATTACCTTATTAACGAAATTTGAATTTAAATCCTGTGAATCCACAAGACGTTTTAGTGCAACTGTCTTTTGATTGAATTTATTTTGTAATGGAGAAACAGTTACGGGTATTTGATTAATTCTTATTAAAGAATTCACTTTGGTTGATGGATTTAATTTCGAAGATCTCTAAAAATTGATTCATAAAATATAAAAAGACAATGACAAACCCGTATCATTGGAATTGTTAATTTAATAATTATAAATATGTTAAATTTAAATAATAATAATTTTATTCTTACAGTTTTATTTTTCTTTAAACTTGGTCTTTTTAAAAGGTTCTTGATTCTTGTAAGACTACTAACGCTACTCTTTCTCTTAACCTACAAAAAAAATTGTATTTGTTAATATTACAATCCTGCAGTTAATAATAGATTTATTCGTATGGACTTACTTTAACTTCCGAATTTTCCTTGGACTGTCCTATTGTCCTACACTTTAATACTTTTCTATTTTCATAAATTCGTCTCATTTTAGAGGCAAATTCTTTCAAAATTTCATCCCACTTTTCTAAGGATATATTTTCAATACTTTCTTCACTATGACATTGTAAATAATCCAATATAATCTTACATTCCATATTAGTAACCCATTGTTTTAACGTCCCATCCATTCGATTTTGTGTATAATTTCCAGAATATACCTCACTGAATCCGCCTTTACCAATTTGATTCAATTCAGTAAATGAGGAAAATGGTATCCATCTTAGAAATTCTGTAGAATTTTTCGCTTCTCGTTGAGTTTCTCGAATGAATCTATCAAGATCTACATTTCCACTTGTCCACGTATGAAATTTTGATTCAAATACATGTGACTCACATTCATTACACCATTTATCTTTTGGTGTAGTATATTGTTTTTTACATAGAAAACATGTGTCTGGAAATGCGGGCATTTGTTGTTTTAAAAATGCGGAAGCGTTTTCGGATTCAAACGTTTTTCGTACACCGTCTAAAAACCAATTTATGAAATTTAATACGGAATCTTCTGTTTCTAAACATTGGATCAGAGTATTGTAAAGATTTTCCGACGCTGTCCACATTTCATCCGATGTAACTATCGCTAATTAGATAAAGACAGATGATTAGATGTAAAGTGGAACTTATTTTTGAATTGAATGAATCGATTACTTACATCTTGTACTTGCATTACTTGTATAGCTTGCATTGCTTGCGCTGCTTACATCGGTTGTACTATCAGCTCGTTCGTATTCGTGTCCATATTTTTTCCTAAATACCATTGCTACTACAGCAACGTTTACATTAAATAATACATGATCGGGAAAATCCATTTTTCAGTTTGAGAGATATTTAATTTAAAGTTGAATTTTTTTTTTAAAGAAGTAAAATAAATAGGATTATCTAATTTTATACAAACATGGAATATATTTACTAAATGTGTATATATATGTACTAAAAAAACTAAAACTATTTATCAAAAATTCTATTTAATTTTTTTTTTATTTTTTATTTTATTTTATTTTTTTATACTCTATTCTAAAATAATTTTTCTTTTTTTTTTTTTTTTTCTTTCAGTTAAAGATGAATCTTTAGTCCGATAGAAAAAGATGGTATATTTTTTTGGTAAAACAAAAAAAAAAAAGTTTTTTTTTTTTTTTTTTTGAAATGATGAAATTGGTTCGAATTTATATATGTTCACTACGATGTATCATGAAAATCCGCGAGATCAGTTGAAACGAACTTTGTTGAGATGTGTAACAAATATTGTATAAAGTATATAATGGACTATCAACTTGGGTCCGTTTATAATAAAAAGCAGTGTACAAATTATTCTATGGATTGGAGGATTGGCAAAATTTATTTACAAAACGCCAATAATAATGCTCAATTAATATGATACATTACACAAGTGGATAATTTTAAGTGTATAACGAATTTAAAATAACGAAAGTTCCTTTGGTCTTTATGATGTTTTTATGAAAATTCAAAAGTGAAGGAAATCAAAAATGAAAGAAAGAGGAAACAAATGTTTATATACCAACAAAGTTTTAGCATCACTCCACATAAATTTAAGATGAGTACAGCATATCATCATGTCTATCCGCTTGATTGTGTTCTGGAAAGGTAATCATCATTCTATTAAGATCATTGTTCGAACAAATCGGCATTTAACAGTCATTACTCATTTCATTAACTTATATAGGTTTGAACCTTATTGGTTTTTTTTCGAATCTCAAATGTTGGTTTGTGCACATGATTTTACTTACGCATACCTTCACATTTCTTCGTAATTTCACATGTATAACAAAAAATTCTTTCTTCATAATCATTAATTTAAAATTAATAGTTTTTCCAAATATTTATATTCGTATTATAAAACAATGAAAATAATTTCAATGATTTGTAAATTTTACGCCTTTGATATGTTACGGAGATTCGGTATGGCGCAGTGTCTATCTTTGCTGCGCCCTCAAACATTATCATATGAAAAAGCCTTATTATTTGATAAAAATCAGGTTATTCACTTTTTCAATTCAACTATTGACTGAAACGTGTGTGACCTAGGGGCACTAATTAACGTTTTTTGGGTCGAAAGTTTAAAAATTTACTCCTGTTGTTTGGAAATTTTACTTTAACAATATAAATACTACAAAAATTTTAATATTTTACTTTCATAAATCGATTGAAAAAGTTCAAAATGAAATAAATTTAAATAATGTTTACATAAACTAAGCATAATGCATACGTGTCTGAATTTGCTTAAAGTTTTATTAAAAGTTTATATAGTAGTAATTGAAAATGTTTTGCTAACATATATAATCTTTTGAACTTTATTAAAAAAAAGGGTTTAAAAGAATTCAAATAAAATGAAAAGTTTAGTAATAAAATTAATATTTTATATATTATAAATGGAGTATGCTACAATTAAACCAGACAAAGTAAATATTGATATTATCAAGAATTTTAGAGATCAAATTTATTAATGTGATTATTACTATCTATTATATTTGTTTTCAGTTCGATAATATATAAAACTACCTTTATACAAAAATATAAGATAATTTACATTAGGTCTATTATAAAATCCAAGAATTATAGCATTATTAGAAGTGTTTTAAAAAAGAAATAAAGTGAAAAAATCGCATCCTATATTTTCAAATAAATGATTTTCAGACACTTGAGAAAATCTAAAAAAAGAGAAAATCACACATAAAATTTATCAAGAGGAAAGAAAAATAATAAATGTAAGAAAAAGAAAGCAGAATGAAAATATACTATTATAAATCCTTAGAAGAAAAATAAAATGGAATAAATCTTATTATTATATATTGATCTATTTTTTCTTTTTAGTTCTTTTAGTAATATAAATCATAACAATTATAAAATTATAAAATCTAAAATTAAAGTAACTAATATTAATTTTCAATAGTAAATGTTGAAGGCTTAAATATGTTTTATGGTTTTATAATTAGAAAGAATAACATTTTTCTTTTTTTGCTTAGTAAGTTTTTCTTTAGTTTCTAGCATAATTTCTGAAAAATCATTAATAAAAATATTAAAGTTAAGATGATTTATTTTTATATAATTACATTTTCTTGAAATATACTTAGCTTCATTTTCATTCTTTATTTACATATAAATTATATAAATTTTACATTTTGTTTAAGAAAAATAAGTAAATATTTTTTTGAATTTTTCTTTTTTCTCTCTATATATATAAGAAAAATATTCATTTTTATATTTTTTAAATATATTTATAAGAACCAATTCTTCAATTAAATCTCTTTTAAAATAAGAAAATATTTTTAGCTAGTAACAAATAAGCAACTTCAAACTTTTAAGAATTTTAAAAATTTTTAAAAAAAATTCTGTTAATTATTTCTTTTGCTTTTTTAAACTTTTAAATTGCTGCTTTTTCTTGTTTAGTTTTTTTAAATTTAATTATTTTATAAGAATATCATAATCATTTAGCTTAATAATTATATATTTAAAATAGCTTACAAAAAAAATATTAAAATTACCAATTTATAAATATCTACTAATATAATTGATATACAAATTTTATTCTAATAATAAATGATTTTTAGTTTAGTTAATTAATTTGTTTTATTAAATAATAAAGACAATTAACTTTATTTTGATTTATATTTTAATGTTTTTAATATTAATTATTTTTACTTTAAGTTAACTTTAAATAAGTAATATCTTTATATTTATTCTTAATAAATAAACAAATATTATTATAAAAGTATTTTTGCTAAAGATGATATAGCAATTGGTTTCAAATTTACAAATTGTTGCAACATAAGCTAAATTAGTTGCAACTAAAGATACCACTATAATTAAAAAAATAATGCAATTGAATTGCAACTTGTGGTATAATTAAATTTCCTTATGACGCAATGAAGTTGCAACTCAATTGAAATTTAAAAATAATTATGGAAACCATCTTTAGTTGAAACATATATAGATTAAAACAAATTGCAACATATATTGCAATATTAAAAGTTGCAATATATTAATTACAGTTCTCATCTTTAATTTTACTTTTTATAATTCAAAGAAGAAAATATTAAGACTAAAATAGATAAAGCTTTAATTTCTTTAAAAATATGTTTTTTTAGTTTTTAATAATTTAAATTTAATAAAATAATCATTAATAATCTCTTAAGTTTTAATTACATTAAAATTAGATGCTTTAAAAAGAAAATTTTAGTATTTTTGTAAACTATTTAACTTTTTAAATATATTTCTATAATAAACACTTTATCTAAATTTTGAAAACATTTTCACCTTCATAATATTGAGTTTTATTCAATCCTATTAGATTAGATTTTTTTACTATATCAACTATATAGATGCTTTGTAATAGAAAAGAGAAAACTCTAAAAAAATTAATATTTTATTTTATAAGCTAAATAGAATTTTTTTTAGTTAAATAAGTTCGGATTTAACATTAACTTAACAAAAATTTTTTAGAATTTATTATAAAGCTTTTATATAATCTAAACAATCTATTTTTATCTTTTATAAAGTATTTTAATTAATCCAAACTATCATCATACTTGAATTTGATAAATTCAGAAATTATAAAATTTAATTTAATACTTTTATAATAATCACAAATTATTAAATATAAATAAAACATATTATTATATTATTTTTTTAAATGCTTTTATACTTATTTAATTTTTTTATTTTATAAAAATTATATTAAGAGTATTATTGACCTTTTTTAATTATTTTATTTTTATCAAAAATATAATTAATTTGTTTTCTTATTATCTTATCTTAAATACTAAATAAATAAATTTTATGTAAACTAAGATTTA